TGCCTTCCAACTGAACTATTCTATTCTAATATCTGACAGGCTTTTCCTTTCCATGGATCCTGTTCATGGGGAAATATCCAGAGCCATGCGGAATCGTGGGATTGAAATTTATATTCCTGGGGAGAATGATGGAAATGTATTGGACAATCTGGACTTGAAGTTACTCCTGCATGGTTTGGGTTTAGTGGGAGATAGCATTTGTGATGCACTTATGGCTGTGCATTCAGAAACCAAGGCGGCAATAGCAGGTAAGAAAAGTCTGTTTGGTATTTGTTAACAGCTTGGGCTCACTACATATATTTGGATTAAGTCTTCAATGTTAAAGCTTGGTTATTTTATTGTGTCATGTCCTGATACAAGTAAAAGCATAAAAGTATAATCAGGTTGGTTTGGGTTGTTTTTTGCGTTCTCAGGAAGTAGGCCCAAATCATACAAAGCACCTCCAGTTCCCATCTTTTTAAGGAGACATCAGACACTGGCAAGTGTCAGTTACCTATTGCTATAGGGAAAGTGAAAATCAGTGAAATTAAGGGTTTGCACAAGACCTGTTCAGGTTGTTCTTTGGAGCAAGATGACACTGAGTTTCATTCATCTCAGCTGCTTGATATCTTATTTAGAGTTTTTCACCTGTTATTTACAGTCTTGTCAGATTTTCATATTAACCTTGGAAAGAACCCATTCAATTTTGAGGACCCAGTAGGATTCATTTGTTTTGGATCTTCCTCAGGGACTAAAGTGGTGTTTGTCCTCAGAGGGTTAAAGGGCTGACAATTACTAAACATTCATATCACCCTAAATGCTGTGTATCTTCCAGGTTCTGTGTCATCTTTGTCACCTTTGCTTCAGGCTGCTGCTTTAATTGTGCAGCAGATACAGAGAGGCCTTGGATTAGCAAAGTCTTTTTACAGAGCCTGTTGGGAAGTTTATGGCCGCTCACAACAACTGCAGATTAACCAAAAGGTAAAAGTCCTGTGTTTGAAAGCTTTTCTTACATCACGTGAAAAATATCACTTCATGAGGCTAGTTTTTGAGATCCTCTGTTTCCTAAGTGCCTGAGCAAGGGGTTGATGAAGATGGTGCTCTTGGAGTGATGAACCAAACCATTTTAAACACCCTCTCAGGGTGTCATCTGTCAGGTGGTGAAGAGGAGGGATTAAGTGGCATTGGCACATTTTCTGTATCTTTTAGATTATGAGCCTTTTTTGGCTCCGGTGTAAGCAGTGCAGTTCTGCATGTAACTTACTCTAACAGATCAGTTGAAGCTCCAGAAGTTGGTTTTTTGGTATTGAATGGTGAAATACAGTGAATTTCAGCTGTCACCTGTCCTTTCATGACATATTTTCTCAGCCTGGTGACATGCTGCTGGAGACAGAGGTCAGATGAGTGAGAGTTGCATAATGACTCTCAATCTGGGATGTGCTTATTGAGATATTCCCCAGGGGATAAATATGGTTTGTCAGATATTTTGTAGATAGTGGCTCACTCTTTTGCAGCATAAGGGAGCCAGAGAATATCCCAGTTGCACTCTGAGGCTTACTTGGTTTTTAACAGCTTCAGCTGAGACTTTGGGATATTAATACTGATTAATCTATAGCCTGAAACACTGTGCACACTGTCATCTGGAGATAGCAATATTCACGTCCTATTTTAAGCTGTACAGTATGTTATTTCACTTACAGTTGGAATGTTTTGGTACTTTTATCATATGGGTTATATAGTGTTTGTAGAACATTTGGTTTATAATGATTTCATAATCAATACATGTAATTAAAGAGTTCCCTGAGCTATTGTACTTGAATACACGTTTGAATATGATTCTAAACTGCTTTTTGGTTGGTTGTTGTAGCTCGTGTTAGAATTGGTTACGAAGCATGCTTCATCTCTGGCTTCCCATGAAATTTGGGGTGACTCCCTGCTAGCAATGGGATTGTGGCCAGACTCCCTACCTACAGGTCTGTTTGCAGCTGAAGACTCGCTTCTTTCAACAGTCCGGAGTGATGCACAGGTCCTAATGTATTGTCTGAATAGACTAAACCTTAAAAACTGCAGGTAGGCAAGAAACACTTTTTATCTAATAAATAAGAAAGAAACAAGATATGTGTGAAATAGTGGTGGCATGTCGTTGTTCCCTGCAAAACTTTGTCTTGAGCAAATTGTGTGGGTAGAGACTGTGGTAGTCACACTCTGTAACTGAGGCTCCTGTTACCTTTCCATGCAACCACTACCGATACAAGTTTAATTATTTACTGTTTTATTCTTCAGTCCAAAATACTCGACTCTATTCAATCTTCGATAAGTACATTTGACCCATTTTGAGTTGAGTTAGTAATAGGCGTTTAGCAGAAAATGTGAATGTAAACAGTGGGTTTACAAGGTAATAAGAGCTCCAGAAATCTCTTCCTTCAGTTTCCTTCTGAGCTTTAAAAAAAAAGAGTATTTAATTAGGCTTAAACATACTAAAATACTCTGTACTTCCTGCTTTCAAGTAAACAATTATTCATCAGTTATTTTAGGTCCAGTAGCTTCAGGTGAAAAAACAAATTTCTTCCTTCAAACAGAGCTGTCTGAAAGAAGTCTTAGGGGCCATACGCGAGAACTCTTTTAATGATTTCTTGTGCAGTATAACTGTTGTTTTCACAACACTGGTGCAAAATCTTGCTTCCTGCCCGCTTTGCGTAGTGACCTACTGTGGACAGGTACTGTGGTTTGCTTCCAGTGAAAGAACAAGCTGTAGAAGTTAGTAGTAAGATACAATGTTGAAATTGTAAAATCTTAGCAACGTGCTGTTTTTATTAATGACACTTCTCTCCTATCTTTCTTTTTTAACTTAACTTCACGTATCATTGTGGTGCACAAATCAATTATAATTTCTCAATGAAATGCTGTGCATATTCACTTCTGGCACTGCATGAATTTTTGGTAATAGTGAGTTCCTAACAGTAGACACCCCCAGCTGATTGGAAGTTGGAAACTGGCTATAAAGCTAAATAAAGAGAAGAGGAGAGATTATTGCATTGCTGCCTTCTTGCCTGAAGATAGTTGCATGCAGAGTAGCTTGACTTGCAAAATATATTCTTTCCTGGAACTGGCAGTTCAAGCCCTTGATTGCTGGACTTTCACTTCTTTGTGTTTCAGGACACTACCACTGACTCTGCAAGATCTTCAAAAAATTATGCAGTCCGCTAATCCTGAGAGTATCAAATTCAGTGCTGTTGAGATAGATGCAAACTGGATGGATGAAATGGAGGTTCTCCAGGCTGCAGTGAAATTGTTCATAGAAAAGGCAACCAATCAAGATTGGACATTGAGAGTTAAATGGCTTAACTCCTTAGCCAAAAATCTGCCACAGGTGCTTGGTATGTAATTATTTAACTTTCTCTTTTGCCTAAGGGCTGACTTACTATATTTTCACAAATTGTAAGTCTTCTAAGAAAACATTCAGACCATTCAAATGATCTGACATGAAAGTTCTCAACTATCCACATGT